AATATATTCTCATCAATGAACAACTACTAAAAATTTTAATCCATCTTTTATTACTATAGTAGCCCTTATTATAAAACTTTGATATGCCCCATTCCACTTTTGAGTACCAGAAGTTACACAAGGTATTCATTCTACTAATATCAAGCTTAATCTTATCAACATGATGAAATTTACACTTAGATCAATTATATATCAAATTCAGAGATGATTCATTGGAAAAGATCCTGATCCTGGGAAAGACTGAAGGCAGGAGAAGGGGGTGACAGAGAATGAGACAGTTGGATGGCATCACCAACTCAATGAATATGAGTTTGAGCAAACTCTGGGAGATAGTGAAGGACAGGGAAGCCAGGTGTACTGTAGTTCATGGGGCTGCAAAGAGTCAGACATGACTTAGCGACTGAACAACAACAACAACAAATCTAGATATATTAGCTGTTGCTGTAGTATCAATTACAGTTAGAATACTGAGGAAGGTTCAACCAAACACAATTTTTAAAATCTGGCCTATTTATCAACTGGCCATATTCTAATAATCTTTTTATAGTAATATCTATTATGATCAGGAGCTTTAGCAGTTGATTAGTATATACCATTAGTAATTAGAGATCCTGATATAGCATCTTCTATAAATAATATAAGGTTTACTTCTCCCATCATCACTCTTAGGGATTCCAAGATGGCTCACTGGTAAACGATCTGTCTACTAGTGCAGGAGACAAGGGTTTGATTCCTAGGATGGAAAGATCCCTCGGAGGAGGAAAAACTGTCCTTAACCAGTAATTTAACTCATGAAGGACCTTTGATAGATTTGACTAACTTTTCACTACACTTAGCAGTTGACTCATCAGTTTTAGGTGCAATCAGTTTTATTGCTAGAATTATCGATATAAAACCACCAGCCACATCTCAGCATCAAATACCACAACTGTTTGATCCATTCTAATTACAGCTATATTTTTACTACTTTAACTCCCAATACTAACATCTGGTATTACTGTATTATTTATCTTTCCTTCAGTTCTCAATGATAAACATACTGGGTAAAGTATCCTAGATTATAAGGTTTTCTCTTTCAGCAGAAATTAACTATCCCTGTTCCATTCGGTTTCCTTTCAGGGGGGTTTCTTATTCTTTCACTTGAAATACAGTCTTCCATGTTCTCATTTTGTTTAACTTTCTCTCTATATATATGAATTAGGTGAAACAGCTACCTATTCCAGTCTTGGGGGTGTCTGTGTGGGAGCATTTCTTTGCAGTCAGCATGTGATCAGTGGCCTTGGTGGGCGAGCTACAGTGTCAGGAATCAGTAGGATTCAGAGAGTTTTCTGGGATTCAACTGATCTTGACGGGAACTTGTAAACAGGGGAACATGTTAGTTAAGGACATGTTTGACTTGGATTTGTCTTTACTTAGTTGGACTTTTTACTTTCTTTCTTTTTTTTTTTTTTACTTTTTACTTTCATTTTACATCATTCTTGGCCATTGTCGCAGCCTTTTGGGATTCATGATCTCTGCATATAAGCAGATAAATAAAAACATGGAATTAATAATTATTGTCCCAGATAATGGGTGACATTTGCAGCCATACCTCCATTAGTTGAAGAGTAATTCTGCCTTCTTCTCATTTCAGAGGCAAGCAGGAATGTGATGAACACCCACTACAGAAGAATATATCAGGATTGCTAAAATGAATTGGAAAAAGCATATGTATTTTGAAGCTTTCTTCCCTAGGAAATTTCTTAAAAACATCACTACATGCTCATACTTTGAAGCATTTTAGTACCCTCACTTCGCAGAAGACCCATAATACCCTGAGCAGTGGTTCAGGGCTGTTTAGAATAGGGCTGTTTCTCTAAAGCAGGGACAGACCTGGCCAAGTCTCACCCCAGCTTGCAAGCCAAGAGTCACTTTTACATTTTGAAACAGTTGGAAGAAAATAAAGGAATAATATTTCATAACACAGAAAAATTATATGAACTTCACATATCAGTGTGTATAAGTAAGTTTTCTGAGAACACACCCATGTCCACCAATTTTCTATGGCTGTTTTCACATGACAGCACAGAGTGGTATCATTACAACAGAGATTGCACGGACTACAAAGAAAAAGTATCTAATATCTGGCCTTTGGCAGAAAAAGTTTCTCAACCTCAGCTCTAGAGTTCATGTGAGGAAAGGAGACATTGAATCCCCCAGGTACTACAAAATGAACACCTCTTTACAAGCTTGTAAATGCATCTTTCTATGCAGTTATGGGGACTGTACAAGACAAAGAACAGAGAAAAGAGAGAGAGCTAGTAGGGTCTAGGCACTCAGCACCAACATTCCTTCAGGAAATTAGTTGTCATTTCTCTCATGGAAGCACCCACTTTTAAACTATCACCTAGAACCTTCAAACTACAGGATTCAGGAGAAGACTAGTCGAATAGAGTATATAGGCAGAGTGGCCAGGAATTAACAGTAATCTTACAATTCAGCAGGGACTCCTCTTTGGGGGTGGCACACTCTCTAAGCTAAATTGTTCTTCCCAATGTTCTCTCTCACCCAGCCCCACTCCAGAGATCCTGAAGGAAACCACATAAAGGAGTGTGGAAAAGAGGAGGTGATGACCCAGGGAGTGGCCACTCCTCCAACCAGGGCCTGGGCATTTGGGATTCTGAAGATGAGAGGGTTTTGCAGAAAACTGCAGCAACCAAAAACTAGGCTGAGGTGCCAGGGAGAGAGGATGGGCTAGTTAATGGGTACACCACAGATGAAATACACTCCTATACAGGGCAGAAAGGGGAAGAGAGACAATAACATCAGAGGCCAAGATAGAACTGAGTGTGATGTGCACACCCTTAGACAAAAAAAGGCTATACAGACAGTACTGCTTCCTCAGGAAGGTATCTGTGATCACTGTAGTTTGTGTAGTATTAAAAACTAAAAAGAGCTCTATATAAAATGAGAGGAGATAAACTCATGTGAACTGAATTGCAGCCTAGAGAATTTAGTGAACCTGTGATTTTAAAATGTTGTTCTGAGGACTTCCCTGGTGGTCTAGTGGTTAAGACTCTGCACTTTCACTGCAGGGGACACAGGTTTGATCCCTATTCAGGGAATTAAGATTTTGCATGCCAAGCAGCACAGTAAAAAGATTTTTTTAATAAAAATAAAATTAAAAAGTGGTTTCTTCTTACTTACAATGCACATTTACTATATTGCTAACTGTATGCCAGATTTTTATATATATATATGTATAAATATAAATAAAAATACATTTATATCCTCTAAGTTTGTGACAGTTGAGCAAGAAATAGTAGTAGTGTAGATCTTCATTTGATTAATGAATAAAACAAGAATTGACGAGACTTAATGACTTGCCCGATGTCGCACTGCTGTAAGTGACTGAACTAAGATCTGAGGTGCTTCTGACTCTCCACTTTACTATATTTACTTAAGAGATGAGGATTACCATCTCCAAAAGACACCAAAGGCAATTTCTCCAGAGTTAAATATATGTCAGTTTATGCTAAACACTGTCTGCTTAATGAGAATAATTGAGGTATCAATTTTAAAATAATTGAGGTATCATAATTTTAAGGAACACGATCAGTAGGAAAACAATTTTTATAAACTTCAATATACCTCATGACTGGGAGTTAGGTATAGTTTATTTAGTCTTATGACCAACTAATTTTACCTGGTACGAATGGATCAATGTATGGAATTTGATCTTTTCCATGACGACACACTAGCCAGAATCAATGAAAGGCAAACTTGAGAAATCTAACCTTCAACCTCAAAGGTCAAAAGAAAGGATAGGAAGAAAGAGAAAATTCATCATCACTGCAGGGATATCTCAGTTAAGCAACTAGTTTTCAAGAGTATTGGCAGGGGCGGGGGCGGAAGGCTACTATGAAATACCTACAGAAGAATTAAGAATGAGAAAAATAAAGTAAACTTTGAATAACACCTCATAAAATGGAGCAGAAAACTGCAGAGTCATCTATCTGGGACAAGTGCCTGAGTCCCAGGCCAAAAGCCCATGATTGTAAACATTAGATTCGGTTTGCCAGGACAAAAAGGAAAGCAGGGACTGGGTGGCCAATAGACTGGAGCAGAGACCAACCCTCTGGGGGCATGGATTTTGCCTCACATGCTGGAGGACCCAGAAGCAAGTTCCCCTTTAAGAGTAGCTCCTCCCATTTTCCAATACCACTTTCCTAGAGCTTTGGTTCAGGGAAGTATTTTTTCTTTTAAACTGCTCAGACATTTTGGACAAGACTTAAATCTACAGAAAAAAGGAAGATCACAAAAAGGTAGAAAAAGAATGATACTGCAATGATTTGAGAGGGAGGAGAGTGGGGGTGGTAAATGGAGAAGGAATATGCTACATTTATACCAAATGTGGCCAAAATGAGAATGATATATAGTTCAATAGAGATCTTTTATTTTTCTGAGCAGTAAGGATTCTAATTTTTGTTATCCAAATCTACTTTTCTGTGTAGTTATGTGATTTCACCTAAAAAAACAAACAAACAAAAAAAGAAGTAACAGTAGGGTCTAAAGATATTGTCAGGAATAGGAAAAGATTAGAAAACAAATTTTTAGAATGGAGGTTAAGGGTAGTGGCTAGTGAGAAGTTATTTTTAGATAAAGAGATGATTTTTATTTTTAATTGAGAAGGTTAAGAACATTATTAGAGGAAATAGTGAAATACAGACAGAACCAGACCTTATTCTTCATCAAGCTTTATGTAAAGTAGAAAGAAGAAATGAATATGTGTGTGTATGTATATACATACACATACATATGTCTCTTCGTATATACATATGGGAGTGGGTGTGAGTATATGTAAATGTGTATATATATATATATATATGTATGTGTGCATATACATATATACTTACACACATATATTTGTTTCTTCTTTCATATATGCATAACAGTTTGTGGGTATAAGTGTGTGCATATGTGTTTTAGTTGTGAATCTCTGAGCATTTGCACAGGCAACCATGGTGAAGAAAGTGGCCATCATTGGAGCAGGCATCAGCGGCCTGGCCTCCATCAGGAACTGCCTAGAAGAGGGACTGGAACCCACGTGCTTTGAGAAGGGTGAAGACGTCGGGGGCCTGTGGAAATTCTCGGTGAGTGGGACATCACTGCAGCAGACCGGAGAGTCGGGGGTGGGGGGGGGGGGAGTGTGTGAGAATACATTGCTTGAGCATAGGCTGTCATGGCAGTTACACTTGCTCTACAAAGCTTAACATCGGTAGCAGGCTGGAAAGTAAATCCCTTGCTTACTTCAGAAGTAGATGGGATAGTGGACTGGTCAGTCTGTGTGTATAGAACTCAACTCCAATAAATCATTAATAAGTGAGCCACCTGGGGATAAAATCCATGGTCAAATATTGTTAGGTTTATGTAATAGAATTGCATGAGCTAATCATTTAAAAAGCGATGGTTCTTTCCACTCATTTGTTGAGTTTCTGGAACAACCTCTTAGTGATTCAGACCACAGATTTTAAGATTTCAGGTGCTGACTTTTGGTCTTGCCAAAAACACATAATTCTTCAGACTGCTGCAAGAGGAATCAAGAAGAGGACACACTGATTTGAAGTTCTTCAGTGACTTTTGTTGTTGTTCAGTCACTAAGTCACGTTCAGCTCTTTGCGACCTCACAGCCTGTAGCTTGCCAGGCTTACTTCTGTGCATTTATATTAAGGACTCTATTAGCAGGTATGCTTGTAAGCTGCTGTTAGATCACTTCCTGTGTTGTCTAACAAGTATATTATCAGGTGTGAAGGCTTCCCTGGGTCCCCAACTCTCTCCATGTCTACTACCTTAGGAATAGTGTCTGGTTAAGCCTACTCCTGCTTTCATCTTCTGATAAACCATTAATACATAGGAACATAGGAAGATCAATAACCCCATTTTTTTGTTTTTGCCACACCACACAACATGTGGGATTTCAATCTCCAGGATCAAACCTGTACCCTCTGCATTGGAAGCATGAAGTTTTAACCACTGGACCACCAGGGAAGTCCCCAATAACCCCTGTTAAACCACTATTCCCTCCACAAATACAAAATTAGTGTTAAACTTTATACCTTAATAGAAAGGTTATGTTTAAGAAGAAAGTGTCTGTGATGGCTCTTTAAATATTATCAATATATGAGAATTGTTCTTATTCATATACACATTTCCTAGACTTAAAAGAACTCTTTGTGAACCACTCAGCATCAGTTTTTCTAAAACTGGGGTATATTTGCTTTAAAACGTTGTATTAGTTTCTGCTTTACAACAACATGGACCAGCTATATGTATACATATATCCCCTCCCTTTTGAACCCCCCACCACCCCCATCCCACTCCTCTAGGTCATCACAGAGCACTGACCTGAGCTCCTTGTGCTATATAGCAGCTTCCCAGTATTGTGGAGCTCAGTCTTTGTCACTGGAATGTGCTGACAGAATTTCAAATTAGCACAGTGAAGGCTGATAGGGCTATTTTATTAAGTACTTTCTATATACCAAACACCTTTCTCATTTCATTCCATCTTTATAATAATCTGGCAAGCTAGGTATTAATTTTTCGCTTTTGCAAATGAATCTGAAGCTTAAAAGAAAAGAAAAACTAATGGTAAATAGCTTGTGAATGGCAAAGTCAAGACTCCAATTCAGTCTGATTTGTATTTCCAGGCTGAATTCTTAATCCCTTTATAAACTGCTGGTTGCCATTTCAACAAGTGGCCTATTGAACTGGCAGGTCTTCTACCCAGTGATCTTAACCAGATCCTCATATTCACACTTACTTTGCAAAGCATTGTTGAAGAAAGACACTGCTGATAAAACTTTTGAGAGTAGCTGCCTCTCCTTTTGCTCAAGGAAGGCTTTAAAATTTGAACTTAACATCATGGAGTGATAAACTACTCACTTGCAAACATGTTGTACTCTTCAAGAAAAAGAAAAATTACCCCAGAGCGTGGAACCTCAAACCCAGAAACTGGAGCCTTGAGACACAAATGCTTATTTCCCAGAACTTGAAACCTAATGAAACTTACCCTTCTGGATTCCAAAATTGCTTGGGACTGATGACTCCTTTTTTTCCTTCCATTTTGTCCCTTTTGGAATGAAAATGTTTGTTACTGGTACCCTATGAATGTCCCATCATTGTATGTTGAAATAAGATAACTTATTTTCTAGCTTGACAGGTGCAGAAATGGAGAATTCTGTCCCAGGGTGAATTACACTCAGAGTCTCTTTCATACCTGATTTAGATAGTTTAGATAGTGAGATTTAGAATTATTGAGCTGATGATACATAAGTGAGATTTGGAACTTGATTTGATGATGCAGTGGATTCACTTTGGGGATGTTGAGATGAAGTGAATGTATTTGACGTGTGGGATAAATGTGAATCCTTAGGGGCCTGACAGTGGATAGCGATAGGCTATTCAAACAATGGGCCCCTCAAAGATAACAGGTCCTGATTCTAGAACCTGTAAATATTCCTAATGAGGAAAAAAAAGATACTTACAGCTATGATTAAATTAATAATTTTGAGAAGATGAGATTATCCTGTATTATCTGTGTGGGGCCAAAATGCCATAACATCTATCCCTAAAAGAGAAAGGCATGGGACTTCCCTGGTGGTCCAGTGGTTAAGAATCCACATTCCATAAGTTCGATCCCTGGTCAAGAAATGAATATCCTACACGCTGGCCATGGGGCAAAGCCCACATGCCTCAGTGAAAGATCCCACATATCACAACTAAGACCTGACACAGCCAGAAAATAAAATAAACTTTAAAAAGAGAGAGAGAGAGAAAGGCAAAGGGAGCTTTGACACACAGAAACAGAAGAAAAAAAGGGAATATGACTTTATCAGAAAGAGAGATTTGAAGATGCTATGCTATAACCTTGAAGGTGGAGAAAGGAGACATTAGTCAAGGAATACAGGTGGCCTCCAGATGCTAAAAACACCAAGACATGCTGGCATCCAGCAGGAGCGGGAAGAGATAATGAATCTCCCCTAGAGCCTCTGGAACGGACTTGGCCCTGCCAACACTTTGATTTAGGCCCAGTGATGCTGATTTTCAACTCCTGATCTCTGGAATGATGAGGGAATAGATTCCTGTTGTTTTAAACTGTCAGGTTTGTGGTCAATTATTATAGTGGCCACATGAAACTAATACAGTGGATTATTCAGAGTTCCCTAATTATTTCACCTTTGTGGGAGGACTTGAAGATTGCAAATGATGCTGTGACTTGCAGTGCTTCTCAAATACCTCTATGAGTCTGTGGCAGTATACCTAGAAATCACATTATAGGATTATACTATAAAATCAAGTTAAATTTTGTATTTTCACTACATTTAGTTTATAAAGTCAGCATTTTACGTTTTCTAAGATCCAAACATTAACTAAGTGTAAAAAAAAATAAAACTGCAGGGACTTCCCTGGCAGTCCAGTGTTTAAGAATCCACGTTTCCAATGCAGGAGCCATGGATTCGATCTTTGGTCGGAGAACTAAGATTTTGCATGCTGCATCATGCAGCCAAATTAAATTTTAAAAAGGAAAGTGCACATAATTCAAATTTTGTAGCTTTTTCCTACAGCACTTCCTTAGGTCCTTCTACTAGTAGTTCCTTCTTCTAACCCTGATCTAAAGACAGAATTATGTATTTGCCTCACCTGCTTTGATCACTGAGAAAACACTTTATGACTAGGCTGCAGGTCTAGGGGAAAGGTCTTTCTTTCTCTGGAGTTCCACAAACAATATGTCAGCAAATTGTCTGCATTTTGGCCTGAGTGTCATGAATAAAGTCTCCTTTTTCTGGGCATTCAATCCATTGTTCACTTCCTCTGATTTTTTTCTAGCCTATGTATCAATTTGATCTTTAATATTTAGTCTTTCCTTGTGTTGATTATAATCACTGTCAAGCATCCTAAACTCATTCCTCCACCTTCGCATCCCACATTCACAGTAGCAGAGTCAACAACCGAAGGGAATAGCAGAAAACACCTGTCATATTTCAAAAATCACACTGCTTTCTGATGCAAATTTGGCAACTAATCTACCATTGAATTACTATTCAATAACAAGGCCCCAGACATTTTGGCTTTTGATGTGATTGGAATATTCTAATATGGCACTAAAAATTTGTATTCTAGGGACCTGACAACTTTGAGTTATATGAGCCCTAATTAAATTTCTAGTGCTCAGTGCTTTTCCTTATGAACTAGCAACTCTACAAAGAGATCTACAGTTTGATTTTTCATCAAAGGGAAAACTATTTCAGATAGAAAACAATGTTAATTTTTTTAAGGAAATAAAAAATGTTTTTTTTTGGAGTCCCTTTTAGAGGTGTTTTTTTTTTTTTTTTTTGACTCTTTGAATTTGAAAATGCAATCTTATGAACTGACTAATATTTACACAGCTGTTTTCAGTTTGTTTTTTTAAGAATCATAGTTTGGGTCAAATAGCACCTAAGCAAGCATTGCATCTTGCACTTTGGTCTGTCACTTGATATACAACAAATCCTGTATTTCAAAAAGACAAAATATGCCTTATTTTCAAGTGCCGATGGAACATTTCTTAAACTGATTCTTAAGTCAAGAAATCCTCAAAATTTTTGAAAAAAAGATGTAAGTAAAATGAAATCCTCAGTTGACGATACAATAAAATAGAAATTTATAACAAAATGAAGATGGAAAATACTGCCTCCAGGAAATTAAGTTCTCACTTAAAGATCTATTAATTAATGTTCTTTTAGAAGTTTGGACCAACTCAGTAAGACAAATGATTGATGATTTTTTTTTAAAAGAAAATAGAATGGAGAAAAAAGAATGGAGGAAAAATTCTCAACTGCTATCTGATTTTATATCATGAAAGATATCAATTGGAAAATGGTTACAAAAAGTAAGATAATTCAATAAGGTGGATGATCACAAAATTGCCAGACAAAAATCAATAGTTTATATATGTTGTAGAGTTAGCAAATTGGCTTGGCCCTTTTCACACTAAAGCTGGTCTGTTTTACTTGATCTATATGTTTTTAATTTTGGTCCATTATTTTAAAACCAGGATATTTCACATAAAAATCTAGGGAAATGTCTTCTTTTGAAAAATCAGAAAATCAGATAA